TGAATGAATGAAAATTATACCTATTTTGGGGGGGTCAGATTGGCAAAAATATATATTTTGGGGGGTGCTGCATAATTTTAGTCATTAGTTTATGTGTGCCATGAGATGAAAAAGATAGAAAATTGCTGACCCAGGGTGTAAAATAGGTAAGAATGATGGACCTATATAGTATTGGGTACAGTGGGGCAAGAAGAAGAGATGGGAAGATAGATATGGGCACATTTTGTCAGAAAATATGAGAGAAGGAGTTGTACATGGCCACACATCAGGAGCGGGGGAATGCCGGTGACTCTCAGGCAGCAAAGGGAGGGCCGGCGAATCGGAGGATGGGTTTGGAAGTGACATCTTTGTGTTTTCTCCTGTTGCCAGGAAATTCTACCTCCCTCACTGTGATATTGTTGGCAGTGATACTGCCCACCTTGATTCTTTTGATATGTCTTGCTTTATGGTTTTGGAGGCGCTGGTAAGTTTTAAAAAATCTTTCTTTTCTGTCACCCTCCCACTCTTTCATATTAGGTTAGCCTCAATCTTTCCACAAGACTTTTTGCACTTTCTCCCAAATTCCCATCTTTTGTAATGTAAATCTATTTTTTTAATTGTGGTAAAATATACATGACACAAAACTTATTATCTTAGTCACTTTTAAATGTATAGTTTGGTAATAGTAATTACACAACCAATCTCTAGAACTCTTTTTCATCTAGAAAAACTAAAACTCTACACCCTCTGAACAACATCTTGGTATCTCCTGGCCCTCTAGGCCCAGACACCCAACATTCTACTTCTTGTCTACATCAATTTGACTACTTTAGACACCTCATATAAGTGGAATCATGAATATTGGTCTTTTTATGACTGGATTACTTCATTTAGCCTAATGTACTCATGATTCATCCGGTCATTTCAAACGGGCCGGATCCGGCCCGCGGGCCGTCTGATTTAGCCTAATGTACTCATGATTCATCCCGGTTGTAGCATGTGTCAGAATTTCTTTCCTTTTTAGGGAAGGCTGAATAATATTCCACTGCATTTATATAACATATATGTTTATCCATTTAATGGACACTTGGGTTGATTCTACCTCTTGGCTATTGCGCATAATGCTGCTATGAAATAGGTGTGCAAGTATCTCATATATAGAGCTAAAATCGCTTGTGTTCTTAACAGGTCATATCAGAATATCCCATGAGCTGTTATCATGTCTCCTTGTACCCATTTGGAATAAGGACTCAGAAGACAAGAAGCTCAAGTTGTCAGCCCAGCAGTCAATCTCATCATCTTTAATCAAAGAATTATCATATTTGACCAACTCAGAGTTCCCATAGGTTGTGAGATACATCATAATTTACACACTACCAGAAAAATCATTAAGAACTCTGCATTTATTATATGATAGTATCAATAGTAGGCTCCATCCAGGTTTAATAAATGTGAGATGTGAAAAAGGATGTATCCTGGAATAAATAAAATAAAGTACAGACGGTCCTCGACTTACATTTTGTTTTTGTTTTTTACTTTCTAGTGGAGAAAGCAATACACATTTAGTAGAAATGGTACTTGAATTTTGCTTTTTCCCCCCTGAGCTAATAATATGTGTATGATATTCTCTTGTGACATGGGGCAGTGGCAGTGAGCCTAGCTCCCAGTCAGCCACGAGATCAGGAGGATAAACAACCAATACTCTACAATGTGTTTATAAGACGATTGTGCCCAAGGGTAGGCATATGTATGTGTTTTGAGTATGTTTAAGGTAGGTTAGGCTAAGTTATGATATTCAGTAGGTTATTTGTACTAAATCTCCTTTTGTTATTTTTAGTTGATATTCTAGATTTTTCTCTTATTAAGATCATGTTCTCCTTGTTTCTGCCCTTGAACACCTCTGGAGAAAACCACGTGTGCCCACACTATCACTAGAGTTTACCCACTGAGATTCATCAGAATAGGACCCTGCTCCTCATTTTTCAGTGAGGACGAATGAGAGGTAGGAGGTGTGAGGGATGATGGTGCAAGAGGCTGTTAAATGGTCAGGTAAAAATCAAGAGGGCTTTTCTTGCCTTCAGGGACTTCGAGATCTGTGGGATATCAATTCAGTTTGATCTTCGATTTACATTTACATTTATTCCTTTTTTTTGCTCATTACATAGTTTTCTAGAAACACCATTAGAACAATCCAAATTCATTTGATTAAAACAGCAGCAGGAGGGAAGTGGAGAGAACTTGAGTATCTTTTTTATAGAGCTTAAAAAAGGAAGTCAGAGCAAGCAGAACTTGAGTAGTAGTTAGGGGTACTGGAAGCAGGTCCCCCACATGGAAACTTTAGGACAATATTGACTTCAGGATTTGCAAAGGGCAAAAAAAGGCTGAAAATAAAGTTTCCTCCTCTCTCAATTAAAATAGCCGGTTACTTCTCCAGAATGCATTAAACTCCACCCCATCTGATAGAGTAGGCATGCTGTTGTATCCTTGACTGCGCCCTCAGCTACAATCTAGGAATTGATGTGTTTCTTGGAGTGTAGACTGTGAGTTGCTACCATGCGGGGGTCCAGCCCCAGTGGTCCCCAAAGGTGTGGACGGAGTCGGCGAAGAATGATTTACACGAGACAGCGTTCAGATGATCAGCATAGCTCTCTATTCTCCGTGGATCTTCCCTGTGCCTGGCTGAGGCCACAGAGAGAGATCCAGAGGCAAGCTGAGCCTTTGTTATAGTCAGAGGTAAACAAGGTAGTGGTTACCATAGTTACACTGTTCTTGTGAGTTTCACTTGTTTTGGCAGCACTTCCTGCATCTCCCTCAGCCCATTAGCTTCCCAGATAAGATCTAGGGAGCATTATAAGGTCAAGTCTAATTATTCTAGGGGGACTGTGGGTTTACCAGGGCTTTTCTTACTATGTAGGCCCTGGATTCCAACATTTGTCTTGGTCTAATGATTCTGTGGATGGTTCTGCTCACCCTCTCATCTCCTCAGGCACCATTTTTGGAATTAGCAGATGCCTGTAGGTGAAGAAAATGTGATTCCAAATGCAGGCGTGGTTCCATCTCTCAGAACTTCTTACCTTTACTGGATTAAGGCACTCGAATTCCTTAGTATCTTGGCAGTTCTGATGTCCTCACACAAATGAATTTTTTCAAAATCTATTTTTACTAGTTGTTCACAGCCAGCTACTTTCCCCTTAAACAATCTAATCTATCAATGTTAGAATTAAAATTTTAGTGTAATTTAAAAAAAACCAAGAACAAGAAGAAGAAGAACAAGAAGAAGAAGAACAAGAAGAAGAAGAACAAGAAGAAGAAGAACAAGAAGAAGAAGAACAAGAAGAAGAAGAACAAGAAGAAGAAGAACAAGAAGAAGAAGAACAAGAAGAAGAAGAACAAGAAGAAGAAGAACAAGAAGAAGAAGAACAAGAAGAAGAAGAACAAGAAGAAGAAGAACAAGAAGAAGAAGAACAAGAAGAAGAAGAACAAGAAGAAGAAGAACAAGAAGAAGAAGAACAAGAAGAAGAAGAACAAGAAGAAGAAGAACAAGAAGAAGAAGAACAAGAAGAAGAAGAACAAGAAGAAGAAGAACAAGAAGAAGAAGAAGAACAACAACAACAGCAAAAACCCGGACAGGAGAAAATAACTTTACGCCAGAGCTGGAGAGGAAATGAGAGATCAAGTAGGAGGCCCAAGGTTGAGGCAAGTAGCAGATTTTCTTGGTTCCAGTCAGCCATTAGTAGGAGGTTGTCTGTTGGTGAAAGAAGGAAGTCAGACTAGAGATACTGAAGGATAGGTTTGCTGGAACAAAGTAAAAGAAGAAACATCTGCAAATGACACGCTGCTTTTACACCTTGCAACGTTAGCCGTTTTCTCCTGCAGTGACAGTCCCAATGGGGAGACATCTGTCAGGGGCCCAGGTGGTGATATTCTCAAAGATGGACCTGGACTCTAAGGATACCAGTGCTTCCCGCCTGAGCATTCCTGTCTGCAGGCAGTTTACTCTTCTGGGGAATGGTGGGGGAGCATGGGGGCCTGTGTCAGGAAAATACACGTTTAAACTGGTCATAACATTTGTCTCTCTCTCTGGGAATTGGTTTATTTTCCACTTTCTCTCCTCCCTACTTTTTTTTTATTTTTTACCGAAAGCATCTGATTGTTTACCACCCACAGTAGTCCAGTAATGTATCTGGTTCCATCTCATTCTGACCTCATCATTTGTCAGCCAATCCTAAGCAGTTGTTCACAGCCAGCTACTTTCCCCTTAAACAATCTAATCTATCAATGTTAGAATTAAAATTTTAGTGTAATTAAAAAAAACAATAAAATTGGTTAAGATCATGACCTTGCAAGTTTAAAATTTGTTCAGTAATGAATGGTGGAAACATTAACCTGTGACATTCGTGCAGTTAGGCATCATTACAAGGGAGACATTTATTTTCTTAAGTCACAGAGATCATACGTGATGATAATGCTGTTGATAACGGTGTTGGTGGTTGTGTTTGTAATGATTCTAGTACTAGGAGATAATAATTTTTTAATGTTTGGTGTGTGTGTGTGTGTGTGTGTGTGTGTGT